TGCAAGTGCATGTGAAGCGATGAAGTTAGATTGAATCGTTGAATTTATTTATCTCGCAAGCAAGAACAGAAGGGAGAAGGAGAAATAAATTTATTTGCTTCACATGCACTTGCAATACAAGACCGAACACCGGCGTAGGTTACGGACTCGCTTTATGAAACGAGGCCCTGGTGTCGACGGCTGCCGGCGCAGAGGTCATCGGGACGTCTGCAGGTGACCGCCAGCCTCGGACGGACGCCCGGTCAGCGCTCCGGCGACCTCAGAGCGCGGCCAAACTGCGCACTTTGGTGGCGGCGCCCGGCGTCCGTCACCAGGTGGACGGGCTGTCAGCGGCCAGCGCCGTGCACCCCTCCGCCCGCGCACCCGTGCACCCGCGCACCCGCGCACCCCTGCGCCCGCCTACCGCCACCGCGAGCTCATTGCCATAAGAGGATCGGCAGCCCGCGCACGCCATACCATATAGGTGCGCGCGAGAGAAGTGCAGCAGTCGGCACGTGATGCCATGTCCTTCAACGTGATTGACTTTGCCCGCTTCGCCATTTGGGCAGCACAGTTATAAACCAGCTCTACCGAGAAATGGATCCGTATAAGTAAGGAGAAGACGTCCCATTTGCGTGGTAACAGTGGGCGCAGCGTCAGGTTCTGCTCCTGGTGACCTTGGCTAGACGAATACATAGGCAAATGACTGCAGAACGGGTTTGGCGGCGGCTGACACATGCAAAAATATATCATTATTGAGCGTTGGACACCAAGGAAGTGAGTACCTTTTTAGGTTGCTTGAAGCATAAGTAAATGTGCACAAAAACACAATGCCCTCATTTGCATGTTATCGTGATTCATAATAATTGAAGAATAGAGGAAGGTGTTGGCCAGCCACGAAATGTCACGGCTAGGTAAGTCATGGCGCACGAGGTCTCCTTCCGGAGGCACACAACACCGTACAGTCAACGGTGTATGTAAGTAGGTACGCAACACCCCATACACCCCTCATACACCCCTACATGCACCCCTCAACTGTCTGCGCTCTGAAAATGACGCCACATATTGGCATGGCGTCTGAGACAATTTTATCGGTACAATTACATCGCTTGATGCACCTGAAAAATAAACGTCGGCGCCAATAATGGTCCCATACTAGCCGTTTTCGCGACGGGCTATCCGGCGAATGCACCTGATTTGACCAAATCTGCTCCTAATTTCTTTTACAGCAAATATCTTCATTTTATGAATTTATTTCAGTGTTTTAATCGATGATGCTCTCTAATAATATGACAAAGCAGGCATATAAGCAATTAGTGCAACCCTAGCTGATAGCTGCTAAGAGACACACTGAACCTGATTTGACCAAATCTGCACCTAATCTGTACCAGATGTGCACCAAATGTGTACCAGATGGCCGTCGTGAAAACGGCTACTATCTATTTACCTAATGCCTAGTTGTAGCTTATTTTATCAGAAATTATGCAAAAACAAGCAATCTTTGACGGGACATATATAAAGTCGAATGCTAACCAAAGGGCAGATGCATGATGCTGTATAATAATCCATTACCGATTCATGTGCACGTATTGCGCATGTGCTGCCAACCACCAAAGGCCAAATCACAAACGAGCACCCGAATGGTCGACAGCCGACTGTTCGTGGTCAACTGTCAATGGTCCTTTTGCGGTTGTGACCGTGACTCCGCACTTACAGACTGTGTGTATTTTAGACATATGCATAAAAAGGTCGGTGTATACCGTCTTTGCGACCAGCCGTTTCCAAGCGTCCTCACACGACCCAGACACCGAAGTCTGATGACATCTATGTACCGCCCAAGGTGACTGACGGCGGTGGTCCCCGTCTGCAGAAGGCGTAACCCCTTCCAAGGAACGCTCGCTTCTCCCGCGTGGCGCAGCTGCAGCTGTCACGCCGCTGTGTACTGCTGCGTGCACGGATCACGGAATCACGTCCACGCAAAAACAGCCCCGGCTCAGCATCACCAGATCTCAGAATAGCTCAGTGGCAGCCGACAAGCCGCATGTTTTTCCGATAAAATAGCCAGGCAGACCGCCAGAATAGCGCTGGAACGATTAACAGACGTTAGACTATGAAATCGCACCCAGAAATTAGAAATATGAACCAGCAGGCATTCAAGTAATTTTAGCAGTTTGAGATGGATAACTTTCGAAAAATCAGGTGAAAGCATAAGGAGACCAAATACGAATATCTTCATACCGCTGCGCTAACGGTTAATAAATACACTATAAGGGTGCTGCACCTAAATGCCCAAAACATAACGAAAGTAAGGTGGGCAATTAAATGCCATGAGTGCCATAGACCATGTAAGTATAATGACCAGAGATGACGATCAGACTTCAAAATCTCAGTGGAAAAGTGATAGGCAAATTTGCCAGGCGCTCGTATATGATTGGTTAGCGGAGCACAAATCGGTTTCGATAAGGACACTACTACGAAGCCGCCACACCGGCAGTCCACGCCCGTAAATAGGATTTGACGTCACATGTGGCTACCCGTGTGCCTCTCCGCACCGGCCGACTGTGGCGCGGGGATGGTCGCGGCACTAGCAGGTGACGTCACCGTCACCGATGACAAGATGACGTCACTGCAGTCACCAGTTTTCACTGACCAGCGGCGACTGCCGAGAAGAGTGTTCGAGAAGGTAAAACTTCGAGAGGCGACTGGGTGGTTACGTAAGCTACCATTTACCGAAATCTTTAGAAGATAGTCAGTTCAATGTAAAAGTGGTTAGTAACGTTGTGTTTTTTGTTGTTGTTGTTTGCTTTTTTTTTGCCATGACGCCTGTTATAGGTACGCTTGTAACTTGTAAAGAAAAGTCGTGTACAAAAAAAGGCGCAGCTTATCAACAAATACTTGGAAATCTGATCAAGAGTTTTACATGAAGTCCCATGAACGATGACTCGCTAACTTGAAGCAGTTAGCGTGGTCACTGGTTAGTCTCGAATGATGAAATTACTCGCGATCCTGTGAGATACGCTGTAGCATAGTGTAATAAAAATGTTACATTTTATGTTTTTTACGCTATGGTGTACAGTTCAAAAGTGCTAGTGTTAGTGCTAGTAGAAGTGCTAAAGTGTTTATAGCACACTTTAGCACTTTTTAGCACTAGTAGAAGTGCTAAACACAGAAGAAGTGTTTATAGTTCCCAAAACACGTAGCCGCACTGGTACAGGCCGCCGCCTCCCGCCCTTGATTTTAAGCGGTTGCATTGACGATTGTTCTGAGTTTCTATCAAAAGGTGACTCACCGGCGGCCTGTTCGCTGGAAGGCTGGCGCCTGCGGCCACCCTGTCCGCTATCCGTCGCGCCGCCATTCAGAGGACACACGTCGTGTCCAGTCACTGGGCGAGCGGACAGTTTCCGGACATTCAGACGGCAGTGTAGATACCATCAGTAGCGGGTCGACTCCCGCCAATCGCGCCGTTCACACCCTTTTCTTGCACGGTCCGGAAGACTACAGAGCAAAGCAGAGCAAAGCGCTCCCACAGACCAGCCGATACGCCCGTCTGTCTGCCGTCAGGGCTGCCCGACCGGCCACCGCTCCTCAGCTCGGGGAGCCCGCGGTTCTGGTCACAATGGGTGCAGCTCCACTCCACGGGTCACCGGTTCGTGGTCGGAGCAGCTCCGTATGATACGATACCGCACGATACACACAGCGATATGATACGGTCGTGTTGACGGCCCTCACCGCCGCGATACGGGTTGTCACATGTTGTGCAATATGTACTATTGAACATAGGACGGTTTCGTCGCTTTGCACACGGATTAAACATCGCGATGGAAGACCCATGGAGACCCTGAGACGAGATGAGCCTGTTCCGTTCGGGCTGCCCTGGCGTGTTCTGCCGTTTCTACAGAGCTCGTCGGGGTGAGCTTTTTTCTGACGGCAGCTGTGCAACAGAAGGCTACTACATTCCCGACCGCCCTAATCGGCGGCTTTGTGTCTTTGTGGTGCGACGTGGGGTCGAGAGCGACACGAAGAGATTAGTTGAGCCGTGACGCAGTGTCGCACGTGGCCCACCTGACGGGACGCCCGCACTGCGGTGTGAGTAACACGACCGCCGCAGCTGCGCCTGAATCATCACCGGGGGGCAGATGCTGGCGCCGCGCGCCGGCCGTATACGGCTGTACACACTACTACTCAGTACTCACTACTCTGCGGGACTGCCGTGCCTTGGTCCGAGCGGGGTTTGTTTGTGCTGAGCGCGAGCGTGCACCTGTGGAGCCGCTCCCCGCACCTTTGGCAACAGCAAACCGCGAGGCTCCGGCCAGCGGACGACGACCGCGGGGCCCCGCCAGGACAGCCGCTGAGCGTCGTCTTTCGTCAAGGGCAGCGGAGGAGCCGCGCGCTGCAGCCGGCGAGGGTGACCTTACCGGCTGGTTTGTCGAGTTTTCGCCGCGCGATACGGCACGTCATGACGACAAGTTTTCCGGGAAGCAGTGCCCCAAGTCCCCTCTGGTCCGGCATGCAGCCCGATTAGGCAGCCGCCGTCCGCCAGCTTTGGTGGGCGCCGGCAGAGGAGCCAGAGGCGCGGGCGAACGGGGTGTGGCAGGCATCTGGCGGCAGAGGCCAGCTCGTCCTCGAGAAATGTTGCCCAGTCACGCCGGACGGGCGGCACCGTCCACGGCGGCGCGCCGACCTCAGAGCGATGGCAACATAATTGGAAGGTGGTCTGCATTTGGCCCGCAGCAGGAGCAGTATTCGCGCGCCATCACCCTAATGACGCTCACTTTCGCCGGCCGGCACCGGCTCAATGGCCGCACCGAGCGATCGTGTCACTCTGGAGCGGTCTTCCACGCCTTATCGGGTCAACACAGACACGAACCGGGCCACAGACCTTGACGGGCGGACTACTTTTTCTTCCGTCTGACGCCTAAATTACGGATCCACCTTAGGGAAAACGACATCATTAAAAAACAACATATAAAAACAAAAGGTTGCCTAACAAATGGCCGTGCTGATCGATCACATAAAAAGGATATTTGTCCAAATCTGTATTGAGAAAACCAGCTACACTCCCAACGACGCCATTTAAATACAAGCACTCGACACATTCGCTCGCCAGGGTCGCACACATCATACACAGAAAAGCCACTGTGGACGGTCCTGTCCCGAGACACGATCTGTACAAAAGGGCCGGAAGGAGGGAGGGCAGGCGGAAGACCGCCCGCCACACACCTCTCCGACCACTGTCCACCGTAAACGGCACCTCACACCACCTCCGCCACCACTCTCAGTCGCAGCGCGCCAAAACGGGCGCGGAAAGACGCGCGAGGACGCCGGCTGCTCACCAGCGCCCCGCCAAATCACAGCTGCGCGTCCACAGCTAAAAACGGCGCGCGGCCAGGTCGGCACGCTAAAAGCTCTCGCGTCGCACGTTAAAACACCGCCGTATGAAACACTCGCACACGACACGGACGAGGGGAGCGCGGGGAGAGAAGGTGACCCTGGATGATGATGCTGTACAAGGACCGCCGCCGGCGCGGTAATGTTTGTACTGAGATCATGGCGGCGGCGGACACCGAAACGCTCGACACGAGCTCAACACTTGCGCGCGCGCTGGCGGCCGAGCCTCCTAGAGTCGCAGGTCGCGCCGGATCCGCCAGAGCAGCAGCTGCATGCAGGCGCGCGCGTCCTCCAGGCTGTCGTGTCCGCGGCTGGCGCCGTCCTGCTGGATGCTCCAGCCCAGGCAGCTGGCCGTTAGGTGCGACAGCCGGCGCCGGTACGGCAGGCCCAGGTAGTGCGGGAACACGATCGACGTGTCCACCACGGTGTCGTGCACCAGGCGCAGCGCGCGCAGGTCGTTCTCTAGGCCGTGGCCGATGAGCACTGTGTCGGCGCTGATGAAGCCCATCAGGTCACTCTGCACGGCGCGCAGCGTCTTGGTGGCGCGGTCCAGCTGGCGCGCCGTGATGCCAGAGAAGCGCGTGTTGTAGTCGACCACCGGCCGCTCGGGGCGCACCAGCGCGTCGTACACCTTCTTGCCGTTGAGGCCCACCACAGAGACGCGCGCCAGCTCCAGGCCCTGGCCCGTGTAGCACATCTCGCAGTCGAGCGCGTACACTCCGTAGTTGCCGTCGGCCGGCGGCACGCGGCGGCGCCGGGAGCGCACGTAGCCCTTCAGGGGCCCGTTCAGACCGTGCAGCAGCCCGCTCCAGACGTGGCACGAGGCAGTGGAGCAGCCGCGGCCGCCCGGCCGACCGCCGCAGCACGCGTAGCTGGACATGGTGCCCGTGCGGCCCGGCTTCAGCTTGCCCCAGTGGAACACGCAGCGCTCGGCGCTGTCGTGGTAGAAGCCGTCGGTGGTGACGGCGAACTGCTGCGAGCAGCGCACGCAGTGCGGCCGCAGCAGCGCCGGACGCTGCTCGCGCTCGCCGCTCTCCGAGCCGCTCGACTGGACGCTCTCGGTTTCGCTGACGTCATCCGGCGGCTGCTCGTCGGGCTCGCTGCCCGACGAGGCGGCCGACGAGTCGTCGCCGCCCTCCGAGCTGTGCGTGCCGCTGTCGCAGTCGGACGAGGCCAGTGCGCGCGGCACAAACTCCTTGGCGGCCGCGTCCAGCTTCACCTTGCGCGCCGGACGCGGAGAGCCGGCCATGCCCTTGTAGATGTACGCCTTGCCCCGGTGGAAGCTGCTCGAGTGCGGGAAGCCGAGCATGTGGAGCTGCTCGGCGGGCAGCGTGTAGCGCCGCATCAGCTGGTAGACCACCTCGGGCGGCAGGTCGAGCCGCTGCTCCTCGGGCGGCGGCGCCGGAGGCGTCTCCACGCTCGGCGCAGCCGCCGTGCGCTGCTTCATCCGCTTGCGGCGCTGGCGACGAGCCATCGACGGCGTCAGCTCGGGGCCCGACGAGCGCGGCGACGGCGGCGGGTCCTGGGCAGTGGGCGGCTCCGATGGCTGCTCGGCCGCCGGCTCGAGGGTCGGCACGCGCGGCTCCGGGTCGGCCACGACGGCGCCATCTGTGGACACAGAGAGAGGACAGCAGTCAGACACGTGACGCAGCCGGCACAGGCGCGGCACCGTGACGTAACGGTCACGTGGGAGCACGTCACCGGCCTCGGATTCGGCTCGGTGCCGAGTAACAGATCGCGCCGGCGCTGCTGACTCAGAGTCGACTCAGTGACGTCGGGCTGACGGGCACAGCTGAATCAGGGGAGCGTGGCTACGGCCACAACACGCCCGGGAGCCTGACAGCCGGAGGCCCCGTTCCGCGAAAAGAGCGCCGCGGTGCCGGCGGCGCGGCTCGGCGCTACATCAGATCAGACCGTCAGCGCGCTCCCTCGGCCCCAATCCCTGGTCCCCTCCAGCGGCGGCAGCGCGACTGCAATCGCCGGCCGGCGGACGGCCGCCGAGCCCCCGGTGACGCGGACAGATGGACCTGTCAGCCGATCGCTGGCCGGCCGCCGCCGGCTGACGTTCGAGACACCAGCTGGTCCGGACTGGGGGCGCACCGCGGCCCCCTCCCACCTGGCAGGCGGCCCACAGCGCGCCCGCCGGGCCGAGCCGAGCGAAGGCCGCGCCACTGCCGCTCGATACGGTGACGTCACTGTGTGCGCTCGGCCGCCGCCACAGCCCCGTCCTCCCGCACCGAGCGGCACGCACAAGGGGCGCCGTCGGCGGCGGCCGGCCGCCCCGCAAATGGGTCACCCTCAGCGAGCCAGCGGCGCTCCGCCCGGCCGCTGACGAGGCGCGTGCCGCTCCGCCGCCGCCGCCGTCGACCGCATTAGCTGACGGGACGGCTGGCGGCGGTGGCGGTGGCGGTGGCAGGTATGCCGCCGCCCCAGAGACGCCCAAGGTCAGCGCCGGCGCCGCGCTCCGCTCAGCGGCACAGATCAGCGCGCAGATTTTGTCAGCGGGAGACGGGGCCGGGCACGTGCAGCGATACGCGGACGTGCTCAGCGAGCGGCAGTGTGCGTTGTGCAGCGGCGGCGCGCGGGTGACACCGCTGGCTGCGTCTGTCACGACCCGACCCGCAGCCGGCCGGCTGGATGGGGCCAGGGTCATCAATGAGGCCATCGCGGCTGGGCGAGGTCGCGGGGAGAGGGCAGCCGACCGGCCGGGCCGGTTTCGACACGGCGCCCGGCCAGGACGTGACCGTACTGAGCCTGGGAGGGGCCGCCGAAACGCCGCCACCGGCGCGGAGGGTCAGGCCTCCAGAGGCAATCAAATCAGCCGCTCACAAGGGCGGGGCCCAGACTTCAAAGTGGCGCTAATCAGCCAGCTGAGAGCACAATCTGGGTCACTTTACGACACTGCGTCCCAGCGCTCCCTTCATTCAGGTGAAGGGGCTCCCCAGTGAGGTTCGCTCAGCGTGAAGTAACCGCAGCCACAGCGCATTTCATAGCGCCGCCGTACCGGAGCGCGGCGCGACCACAGCCAGCGTCGCTGAAAGTGTCACCGCCAACTGCCACCGTTTTTCGACAACCCGCCGCGTCGTTTTTCGGTGCAGTGACTTCGCAACTGTTCCGTCTTTGGAGCGGAATGCTCTAGAGAGCGAGCAAGCGAGCGACGACCCCAGAAAACCAAACGGACCCCGCGGAGAAAAAGACGGCGCCCAGTCTCCAACAGAGAAACGTTTCACGGCGGAGCGGGTCCATAGCGGTAACGACAATGGTGGCGAGAACTAGAGCTCACCAGTGCGAACAATGGCTGAACGGGTGGCCGACAGTTACCCACCTGACTGTGCGGTGGGCGCCGTGCAGCTGGTGCCGCTCGGCTGTTCCTCTCCTGCGTCCACTTCTTGGTCATCCTCGGCCGTGTCGGCGGCAGGCGGCGGGGACGGGTGGCTCGGAGCCGGCTCCGGGGACGGAGCCGGAGCAGGAGCCGGGGGCTGGCTCGGCCTGGCGGCCGGAGCCGACCGCTCCTTGCTCTGAGCGCCGGTCGATCGGGCCGACCGGCGGACAGCACTCGTTCCTGCGAACAGAGAATAAACGCAATGGTTAGCTCTCTAGCACCAAGGACTCATTCAGCACGAAGTCGTTTGAAAATCCCAAAGCTCTTCATCTACCGTAAACGGCTCACGCTGCTTCTGAGTCATCGGCAGTTACAGTCACGAAGGTATCTGCCGCTCGACTATCATTGCCGCCAAGGTCAGGCAGCATTGCCCTCTGCTCATTTGCGGGTGGGTCGAGGGAGCGGCGGTCAGCGTCCGGTCAACTGCCGACCCAAGGCCGGCGCGGCGCGGCGGGGCCCGCCGCCGCAGAGGTCACCGGCGGGTCGGCGGCCGGCGCGACGGCGCGCCGCGTCACCTAGCGGGCCGCCGGCCGCCGGCCAGGGGCATCAACCTCGGCCGAGACGCGTGGGGGCGCACCGGTACCCCGCAGATGGTCCGTTTGGGACCGCCGCCGCCGCCCGGCGTCTCGGATACGGGTTCACTGGACCGGACGGGCCACAGACATGTCTGGGCGCGCGGCCCGCGTGGCGGACGGCCGACTGAATGGACGGGCCGAGAGGGCCGGTAGACCGGAGGCGCCGGCCCAGGAATAAGGCTTGGCGGCACCCGCAGGTGAAAGGGCCACTGGCACGCCGGCGGAGGGGCCGCGATAATGGAAGGCTCTGCGATTACAGTGGAAGGGTTACGGTCCAGGAATTCAGAGAATGTGAACGGTACAGTCAAAAATACGTTAGTAGGACAGAACATACTTAGCAAAAGCACACGATGAGAAAAACGACTTTGCATAAGTACCTCCGACAGATAAGCAGATAAGAAGTGACCGTGAGTCGCGGAGAAACTCACTGAGTGCCGCGTGTTATCGTATCTCTAGGGAGGATTCTCACGCTGTTTGCCCAAGCCTCACAGCTAGGTCGACTCGGGTCCCATCAGTCTCGTGTCTCCCGGCGGGCCGAGGCGGAAATGCCGGCGCGCCTGTCGAGGCCAGGCTGCTGGCGGACGGGCGGACCAGGTGAGGAACGGACGCCCCTGCCGGCCAACAACCCACGCCGGGCCGACCGCCTGGCTGCAGCTGCCGCAGCGGTCCGCCTGCCGGCCCATCTGGCCGCCGCCGGGCACGCAGCGGATCGGCCCAGCTCGCCGTCGGTCATGCAGAACGAAGCAGCTGTCGTCACGGCCCCGCGGAGCCGGCCGGCCGGGTCAGGGTCCGGTGGGAGCTGGCTGAGCGCGGCTCCGCTCTGCGCGCCGCGCTGCACTCCGGCTCGGATGGACCGGATCCAGCGCCGGCCGGCGGCACCAATCCGCGCGCTTCCGTCCGCCGGAACTGGTTATCCGGACGGTGACGACACGCACTCGCAAGATGACGACAGACGGCGCGTCAGCCACGACCCCGTTTGCGCAAGTGTCGCGCTAACTGCTCTCGTGCGTCGACCCCGGCCCAATTCTGCGGGCGCGTCGCAGTTTTTCGGCCGTTTTTACCGGTTGGTCTTACAGAGAAAGCCTAACCTGGTGCACGTTTGTTTTTGGAGGCGGCTCGGGGTTAATCATTTTCCGCTGCACCATCCACAGACCGTTGGCGCTGACGGTGACCCGACCCCGTCCATCTGATGAGCAGTAGCCGAGGACATTGAACCGTCACGCGCCGCTGCAGGCTCTCTGTCCCGGCTTTGTTCGCATGCAAGACGGCCGCCGTCGCTGTGTAACCTGGCGATCAATGTAAGGCGGCACAGACACTGTCCTGCGATCAATAGCCGCTCCCGGGCGGCTCCGCGCCGCGGCCGGACGGACCGGCGGCTCCCGCCGGCGCGCCGGGCCGCATTCTTCATAGCGGTGGCGCGCGGCGCGGCACCGTTCCCACCGGGCGCGGTCATTACCATCCCGAGGACGGCGCGCCGCCGGGCGCACCCATTGGTCCGCCGAAAGCGCGCGAGCCCGCGGCGCCGGCAGCTGGCGCGCGAGTCAACGACACGCGGCCGACCACGTGGCCGCCGCCGCGGCCGGCGCGCCGTCCCGCGGCCCCAGAGCGCGAAGGCCGCGCGCCCGATGGCGACACGAGCGGCTCGTCGGACGGCGCGGCGGCGCGCTGCAGCCGTCGTCGCGAGCGGCGCGGCGCGGCCCCTGTTTGCGGCCGGGTTGCGTCAGACGCCGCCACGGACCGCCCCTTTCGTCAGAGAGCGGCTGAGGCGGGCTCGCAGGGAGAGGTCGGCCCCGCCCGACCGGCCCGGCCGGCGGCGGCGGCCACTGATCACTCGATAACATGACGGTGACGACTACACCGTAATGTCAACACATCGGCGCGACCGTCCAGTTGCCAGACTGACCCATTGACCGGCACCGTTTTAACTTATGCGTGCGACACCCAGGCTATTTCCGTCATGATGATCTGACACGCCTCTTTTCGTCAGTTTAATAAGCGAGTGGCGAGGGCGATGACTCTAATGACTCACATCCCGGCCGGCCCGGGACGTGACGTCACAGATTCCTCTCGGACTCGTCATCCGCCCTCTTCCGGCGGCCGAGGACTCCCCGTAGCCGCGTCACGAAGGACTGTCCGGGTGACGTCACAGATTCGTCACCGCGGGCTTCCGCCGCCGCCGCTCAGCAGCCCGGCCACTGCCCAATCGCTCCGAGAAGCTTCCGGCGGGGAATTTTCGCCAGCTCGAGCTGCCGCGTGGGGTGGCGAAAATTCCGCTATGACTGACCAGTGCACTGTAGGCGTTCGGGCTTGTCTAGCCTCTTACGGAGCAAAAATATTATTTTGCTTTTATGAAAACAAAAGGCATACCAATCGACTACAAAATGTCCATACATTATATAAATGACCATTATCTGGTCATGCAGCAACTTGGTATAGGGTGAAAGGGGCTTCAAACACAAAGATTTCTTAGGCCGTAGACAAGTCATAGTTTTCGGGTGTTTGAAGAGTCAAAATAGATGCCATGGGGATCCTATGTGCGTGAGTTTTACACGCCAATGATTTTATGAGTTGTTCTGTGACATGTTACGATCAATTCCGCGCAACGAAAAATGAGGTTGCGAAAATAATTTAGCAGCATGAGAGATAAACATATCACCGAGTTATTTTGTATGCTTAAAATTAATATCACTCACTATGTTAAGCCGATCTTTTGAGTTCCCCCAGGTCCCGCTCTAAATCGGGTGTCACAATGTGCATTGTGATGTTATTGAACCGGCCAACCAATAAAAAAGTGCGCAAACTTGCGCCATTTGCTGCTATGCAACATTTTGCAATACGCCGTCTAGCCTTTATTAGCTCCATAGTGACGGGAGCGAACAAATCAGCCTGCATTTTAGCTTATGTTATTTCAAGTGATGACAGTAACACCAGCCAGTGTTATCTCGTGGGTTAGAAGCATTCTAATTCACCGGAGGATGAGCTGTCACGTGACCGGAAAGGCCTCAGGCGATGCACAGTGGGCGATCCGGCCGGTCTGGTCTCGCGAAACCTCAAACACATTTTTTGTCCTAAAAAAAAAATTGAGAAGTATTGCACATGAGTTAATTGGAAATTCTGCATAAGTCACGCCCCCCCCCGAGGCCGAGGGGGGGGGGGGTGCCGCCCCCTTATAGGTTTTAACGCGATAGCTCACAACACGCCGGCGATTAAGAGCTGAAACTTGGCATATTTGACCTTTGATTCAAGCCGGATCTTGTTAAATCAACCGCATTTTCAGGTCAGGTCAGGTCAGGTCGCTGACCTATGACGTCACTCAAGTGAACCTCTGCACGGTCCTCAGATGTCGCAACCTCGCAACGCCCTCAGTGCCAGAGGGACGTTCACAGGGAGATGAAGCTTTCAGGACTAGCATACCCCGAGGTCTCACAACTTGTATATTTATATCTCGGATTTTTTGCTTAAGTTCACATGCGGTCAGGTCGGTCGCGTGATCTCACCGTTATAAGTCAATGAGGAAAACATGGAAATTGTTGTTTTAGCGCCAGGAATGATCTAAAACTATCTCAATCACATGGAATCATGGTTTCATGCGCTCCCTGCAAGGTACGGTGCTACACCTTTGCATTGCTAACCTTGCATGACGTCATTTATGACGACCTCCTTTGACCAAGTTCGTGACCTGAGGGACTCTGACCAGACTTTGACTCGAGGTCAACGACTCAAAACCTTAACCCTCGGAATTATAGGGGGGTCGAACGGACCATCCTCGTTTTTTCGCGAATAACTCGCGTAAAAAGTGGCCGATCAAGACGAAACTTTCAGTACATTCGAGTTCATCAATTTCGCACCTACATTGAAAATTTCATGACCCTGACCCAAATGACCTTTGACCTGTGACCTATTTCTCGAGACCATGTTTGGCTGGAATCGCGATTCAGCGTATGTCGGCTCACATTATCCGCGCGTTTGCATTTTTTTGTGGTTTCAAACGTTCAACCATGTGAAATGATATTGGTTCCATGCATTATGCTGGGTGTCAAGGTCACCTGAAGGTCAGGTCAGGTCGTTGGCCTTTGGTGACCTCGGTTCACTTTTTCGAGTTTTAAATGTTTCTAGGCTAGTTTTTGGGGCTGATTTCGAATTTAGCAACCATTTGAGCATTTACGAAGTAGTTTTGGTGCCTTCATATGATGTTACGAGGCTGTCAGTAACGGTTGACACCTACTATGAATACCCGGCAGGACGCATACTGGTTGACCTGACCTGACCTGACCCGACCTGGCCTAAATGCATGACGAAATCATCTGTGATCAAAACTAACATGAAATTCGTGATCAGCACCCCGAAAAGCCCCAAAGCACCTCACTTTACGATGTTTTAACAGGTTCCGATTTTCCCGACTTTTGGGTAATTGACCTGTCCTGGAAGGTCAACCAATGACCTAGGACCTTAAAATTGGGTATCAACGGCTTCCTCTCATCACGGGCAGGAAGCTCATTTTTTCCGCGAAGCTCTAGCTCGATCAGGGGCCAAACCGCAAGGGGGAATGGAAGTGCTCCGTTTTGCCACGTGTATGCAACATTTCATGCAGTTCCTGCACATTGCAAAAGCTTATAACATGGGAAACCGTCATGTATTCACGTTCTTTAATGAATTTGCTACAGTTTGGTATGTAATTCGTAGGCGTAGGTCTCCTAGATCCAAGGCTATGAGGGTTGATAGGTTGTGAGAGGCTAGAACCCTTGAAACGCCCACTGTGCAGTGCACAGAGATCGTTACTCAAGTTCCGGGGAGCATACGCCCCCCGGCTCGGGCGGAACCCGCTCAGGGTCGCGTCTGCAGGAGCGTCCGACGTCTCGTGAGCTTCTCCGAAATCTGCGTCTCAAACTGAACGCCGGCCTCGGCGAGAGAGGAGAGGGCGGTCGGAGGCGCCGCTGACGGCTCCGGACACAGCCGACCGGCGCCGTGTCACTGGCCGCGACATGACGACCGCGTCAGTCCGGTGCGGGAGGAGCGCCGAACCCACAGCGCTCCCGTCTGTCTAATTATGGACGGGTGGCCTTCGGAGGCGGCCGGCGGCGCCCAGACCCCCGCCCACGATCCCCCGAACACCTCCCGTGGTGTGGAGCTCCGAGAACCCATCCCAGAGAGCACAGCATCCCGAAACGCGGCCGTGACCAGCCGCCCGAACACACGGCCGTTCGGCCACATCTGCGAACAGCAGCTGGGATAAGTCCACGAAACGGCGCGCTCCCCATGATGCAAAGCAGCTTGAAACGAGCGTGGATGGACGGCGGACGGTGGACAGAGGACACCGGCCGGCGGGGGTCCTTGAAGCCGCCGGCGGACCGATGCGGCGCCCGGCTTTAATCGACCTTGGCAGAGGCCACCGGGCGCGCCCGGCCGCTCGGACTTTGCCCCTGTCCGTCCGCTTCCGCGCGAGCGGCACTGACCAGAAGGGCGCGCGGGCCGACCACGTGGTGCGCCGCCGCCCGACGCGGAAGGCCGGCGGGCGTTGTCCGTCTGTCCGTCCGTCTGCCGGGGCGGGGCGGGACGGACGGCCTCAGCCGTCAGCGGCGACACGCAGCGACCGGCTAACGAGATGCCGTCTCATCAGTCACAGGGCGCGTCCGACGGACGGCTGCGACACCCCGCCCGGCCGGCCGCACCTCGACTCTGTGACCGGGTGTTCACGCACGGTGGAATCCAAACCGGGAAGGAAGGAATGGTGCCGTGCCAAAATGAACTGCCTGCAGTGAATCGCTGCAGAGCAATTACAGCATAGCTAAGAACTGAAACCTTAGGATTATGTAGAAAAAAAAAACAGGAAGAAGAAGGAAAGACGAAAACCTTATTTCAAATTGAGCTTACTCCGGGAAGATCTCCGGGAAGAACAGCCACCGCTCCTTCCTTTTTAGATCTGCGATGGCTATGAAGAGATGCAGTGAGACTCGGAACAATTTAACCTGTGTTAACAGTTTTTGCCCATGTGAAGTTGACAACAACGGTATGGTACAACGTGTAGAATTGTATATCTGTATATCAAATTTATCAAAAACGACAAATGTGTTGCAAGAGAAAATCGGCTCAAATCATGGGGCTACCGTCGCGGGTCGAGTACCTCACTACTCAGTACTCATTCATTGAAAACGCACGGAGACGTTAGCACCACGGGCCGGTGATGTGACGACTGATACGGACTTTCCGTACTACCGAGACGGGCGGGTAAACCCTGGCGCATGCACACACCAACACTGGCCGTCCACGACGCCGTAAAATACCTACCCCAGCCTGTGCGAACCCGAGTCAAGGTTAGGTGCAGCAGTCAGGGTTACACTATGCACCAGAGGTATCCCACAACGTGCGGAAAATATGGACGCCTGAGAGCACGATATGGCCAGATATTTTACAATCACAAAGCATATCCTATCAAGACATTTAATGATCTGCTTTGTTCAGTGATAATAGTTCTTGTGGATGCCGTTAGTTAAGCAGCCCGTTACTGCAGTTTTTTTTTTTTAATACAACGAGCCACTACGCGTCAAGGCTTTGCGAACAATTGTCGTGCACATTAACTGGAGCCAATGCAAGCTTTTCATACTACCTTTCCATGTTGGTGAACATAATTGAAATAACAAACGTTTCTTATGAAAATATAAAGCACATTATACTATCAAAAGTGCTGTTCAAACGCATTCAACCCGTCATGCGAAGTGCGAACGCTTTTTAAAACGTTCAACCGATACAATAAATAACAACTAAAATTAAGAAATTAAGCGTCGTCTATTGTACAGCTACTCGTTTTGCGTTCTCAAGTATACAATAGCAATAAAAATGAAACATTTAGCACGAGCCAAAATTAACCTTACTCATTTAACACGAGCCAAGAATTAGCCTTACTCTGGGATCCGCAAAGATACTGAGTAGGGACACGAGTCGAAATAACACAACGCATTCGGCCAGATTTGTCACCAGAAACACCACCGGCTGACGTTATTTTTATTTTCCAAGATTATCCCACAATTTCAAGCAGCCACGCGAAAAAAATGACCCCCGATGTATAAGCAACCATCTGTAGGCTGGATATTACTTTGCAAATCAGCGGTTAATTTGTTCGCGTGAGTGCTGAAATTCGGGGAAGAAATTAGGCAAAATTAACAGCAGCCAGCGATCTTTCTGTGGGTAAAATTAGCAAAAGGTAAAATAATAATATATTTGAGATATTTATATGACAATAAATGAACATATTCATCTAATTCCTCAACATCAGAATGTCGCTTACCGTTTTTGGTCCCACCCTTTCGGGTCTCCTTCGGCGAATCAGTCTTCCTCTTGGTCGATAAAAATATAAAAATGCCCAGAGCACTCGTCAGTGCGATAAAAAGAACACCCAGCAGGATGCTGTCCGCATACATCACTTCCACTTCGAGCGCCATCTCTGTCGACTGTCGCAGACCAGCCGGGGGTACAGCGTTCACCTGGCGATGTCCTTCGAGCGCGGCCGAGTAGCAGTACTTTGGATGAAAGTTCTCATTCAGACAGCTTCCGAAGTACCACCTGTCGCCGGCAAGATGTGAGCGGCAAGACAGCGGAGCTGCACGACCTCCCTCGCCGCGGCCCACGGGCAGAATGCCTCCCCGGCGCCAAAACAAGCACGCGACGGCCTCGGCGCTGCCATATGAAAAGTCTCAAGAACTAGGGATAATTGGAAATATCTTACCATGTCGTGAGCGAGAACCGGTTTACGGCCAACTGCCGACAGGCCATTCACGTCACAGCCTGGAAGTGATGAAATGATTACCGGCATTCGCAGAACTGAAACTACGAGAGATGCAGAGGATGCACACAAGGCAATGTGCATCACCTGCATCCCTCGCATCAATCATCATCCACCCTCGGTTTTACGCGAATAACTCGTGCAAAAAGCGGCTGAACACGACGAAACTTTCGGAACCCTCGAGTTCATTAATTTTACACCTACCCTGAAAATACTATGATTCTGGCCCAAATGACCTTTGACTCTTGACGTGTTGCTCCAGATCATGTCAGGCCGGAAAAGCGATTCGGCGTATATGTCGCACACATTATCCGTGTGTTTCCTTTCTTTTCGTGGTCGTAAACGTTTCAACACGCAAAATGCTGTTGGCCCCTTCATTACAGTGAGTGCCAAGGTCACGTCAAGGTCAGGTCAAGGTCATTGACCTTAGATGACTTGGGCTCACTTTTTTCGAGTTTTACGTTTTGTTTTTGGAGCTGATTTCGAATTTTACAACCATTTGAGCATTTAAGAAATAGTTTTGGTGCCTATGTAACATGTTACGAAATTATCAGTGTTGTCGACAGTCGACACCTACGCTCTATGGATAGCCGGCAAGACGCCCGACTGGTTGAACTGACGTGACCTGACCCGACCTACCCCAAATGCATGAATACATCATCTTTGAGCAAAACTTAAGTCAGATTTTTTAAGCCTGTCTGATTGCTAAGTGCACAAATGAATCAGGCACGATTCGAGCTACTGCAATGAATCGACAGTCGACAGTAATATCGAGATCAAGATTAAATTTTCAGCTGGCCAGTTTATAGGCTTGAAGGCTTTACGTGGGCTTTTCATTAGAGCGCTTTAAATGATTAGACAAACTTAAAGAATCTGACCATAATATGAAATTCCTAATCAGCACCTCGACAACAACATCAACTTCACTTCATAAAGTTCTAGCAGGTCCTTATTCTCCCGACCAAGCTCTATCTCCATCGAAGCTACATGGCTGGGACGGATCCCCCATTACAGGGTGTCCCATAAGTTCGTTCTCACCTAAATTTTACGTTTTTAGGCTCTCTTGCTTAAAGACACGCTGAAATTGGTTCGTTACTGAGCTTACGTGGTTGCCATGGCTGGTAGAAATATGCTCCACAGTAACTAATTTCTGTAGACAAAATAGTTTTTGCTAGAGAGCCCGTTTCCTACACAGACGGCTAACGCCGCAACATAGAGGTCTCCAATACGGGTACGTCTCGGTATTTAGTCAGCACGTGACCATTCGCGACGATTGAGGGTGATTGAGGCCTACCAGTCTGTAGACAATGTCCATCGCTAACTGGACGCACAGTCAGCAAGTGACACCGATGATTTGTCGGGAGTCAATCATTGCAAGTTTATCCTCTTTTTTGTCAGCTCTCAGGAGTGAGCCATGTGGCCAAAACTGTGTGGCGCCAAAGTGGCCATCAAAAAGGTCAAAGGGTTAGAAAGTTGGTAAGCAGACTTTTCAGGATGGATTACCAGCTGTCTAAAATTGTTCTTACGGGGTACATAACTCAAGGTGACTTAAGCTTTGCTTACCGGAGGGCTCAAAACAGTCAAGAACGTCTTAAAATGGCCAAACATGAGTTTCGTTATGCCTGAGGCTAAAAAAACTAAAGGGCTGAGGACATCAACCAGGTCATCTGGACTAACTAGTCCACGTTCGAGATGAAACACCCGTCCAAACCCGAAAACAACCCCATAGGGGCGAAGGAGGAGGCCTCCGTTTCGTCCCGTTATGTTCCTATGCGAAAGGCCAACTTGCCAAGATCACGGTATTGTGGGGTTATAGGCGTCCAGACGCTGACCAGGTTGCGATTGGTGTCCCAGAAACAGCTTTGGGAAGCATAGTGCTTTTCCAAGAAAATCTAGGAGGAGTTTCAGCCCTCAAGCTGAACTCGAACCGCGAGTATGAAATTGAACACATTTATAGAGGAGAAAATGGCATCCGAGAGGTCGTAGGCCCATCTTCAGGCAAGACAGTGCATCAGTGCACAGGCCAAGCAAAGCTTAAAAGCGGTGGAAGGAGACTGTGACAGGCGTTTGTGGCAAGACCACATGCCAGGCACCTCATCGGATCAAAATTTCATTAAAAAAAATTGTTGGTTATGCTGAAATTTAGGCTCGTCGAAGCGTAGCGCTGTTCCAGCCTCGAGGAGCTCACGGCGCATGTCAAGTCAGTCTGGGTTAACTTTAAGCCTGCTATGCAGCCAAACATGCCGGTTGGCATGCCGCAGCATGTGTTCATGTGTTTGCCTATTAAATGGGGAGCACATTGAGGGGTCATAAATATATCAAAACGCAAAGTACTCTGTTTCACATGCAAATAAAATGTGAGAACGAACTTATGGGACACCCTGTATAGTGTATACCTAAACGCTGTAAAAGGCTTATTAAAGGGACTGTCCCACCTTCAAAAAATTGCTTTGATATACTGTTCTTGTGTTGCAAGACATAGATTAGGGGCCCCTGTACACGAAATTGGCAAACATTCGGCCCATAGTTGGCTAATTGTTTAGAAATTCCAATTTAAAGCTTTTGGATCGATTACGTCATATGATTGTTTTTTTATCGGGCAAAGTTTTTTTCCTAGCTGCCAAATCAGTGGCACAAAGTTTTGTTACGCTTCTGCCGCGAATAGTACAAACATTGCGCATGAAAGCAAAACTCAGGAAATTGGTTGAAATGAAAATTGGAAAATTGAAGCTTGAACTTTGTCAAGAAGAAGGTCGCAAACTGCAAAGAATATCAACAAGGCCTTATTTATCATTTTTAAAAGATTATAGAATGCTCCCTAATAAGCAAAAGCAAGATATTGATGTTTGATTATTGATGCTGCCCACAATGTCGTGGGCACATGGATGATGGAAGTGAGCTCAACTTCAATAATCAGACCTAAGAATCACAATGGATATAGCCATGAGCCAGACTGCAAAGTATGGCAATTTTGTCCAGATGTTGTCAGTGCAGACTCCTTCGTCTGGTGCGGATTTAAGTGTGGTGCGGTGTGGAGTTGGTTTGGTGTGGTGCAGATTTAGTGTAGCGGGGTGCGAAGTGTTCTCTCAGCCCCCTTTGGTGTGAATTTTCTGGCTCAGTTTGCAGGGTTTGTGTAAATTTTGAACTTAGGCCAGTGCTCCTTGGCGACCTGCGAGCCATACTCTGCAGTACTGGCCTGGGCCTATGAGCAAAGTAATATAATATAGTCTGTTCAAGATTCAATATAATAAGTCTGCAAAACACATTCCAGCAATTGTAATTGAAGCAGAATGAATTGTAGTGACCTGCATTTGTATTTTTGTTGTGTCTGTGAAAAATAATAAATATACCTACTTATTGGAAAAATCGTGGCCTTTCAGCACATTTGGCAGAGTTGTGTGACTCTGATGTAGTGGCTCATGTGGAACGCAACAAGCTGCGGAACAAGCTTGAATAGCATTTTGCCTCAGGGCTATCTGCCAGAAACATTTCATCTGCATGAATTTATCTACAGGCAAGTCTGACAAATTTGTGGATTAACTGGGGACCTTGTAAGCCTGCATATTAAATTCTAGCCTACCAGCTCAGCCCTATCCTCAGTTTCAGCATTCAGCATGATAACAGTTCTGATCAAGTTCTGATTGTCACCACTGAGACACCAATGGAGTCCTCTGAAATTTTGCCTTTTAATTAAATTATTTGTAAGAGTTTCAAGCTATATTTAGACCAAACATTTCACTCAAAGATCTGCGACCTACCCCACTCGTCCAGTAGGATGCCTGGCGCGCAAACAGTCCAGCAGTGAGCTGCCAGCCGGCACGCAGGGCAGCAGCAGGCAGCGGCAGCAACGGCAACTGGTGAACACTTCTTGGACTGCAGCCACGACATAATCTAGGCTATCGTCTATTCAATTTGTCCATGTACAAGTCCCACAGCTCCTGCCCGAGGTGCCCGAGGTTGCGCAAGTCAGGGAACTGACCACCTCCAGCCCAGGCGTGGTTCACTGACTCAAGATATTTCAACTGACCAGTCAGAGTTCATGTTTTGCAACTTTTATCCAAGTTATTTGTAATTGTAATATTCTAAACTGAATTTTAGGCATGACTTCATTTTTCAAGAGCTACAAAGAACACACCTTCCCTGTGCAGCACGTCTATTGTCCTAACATTTTAGTCACATAGTTGCAAGAAGCGACTTGAATGCGGAACCTGCCTGTTTTGAAGCCCTGTTGTCTGTTGGGTGACACTGCACAGAGGTAAGGATGGGGTGTGATTTTGCTGCTGTTTGTCAGGTTCAATATGTGTGTCAATGATCACAAAGTACTCTAAAGGTTTAAAAAATGCACAGCATGGCCTAACAAAGCACATTACCTAGGTTTTGACAAGCAGCGCAGCGACTGTGGTACAAAGGCCCAGTCCTGGTCCCATGCTCATGTTAGCAGCTGGATCTGCTCCCAGGAAACAAAGGTAAAACACTATTGACAGCTTTAAGATGAAATCTGCAGGAAAACTAAGCCATCTATAAAATCTAACATAAGCTTAAAAGCGCAACAGAGCATTTCTGATTCAACGTGCAGCACTTCCGCTTTCATCCGCCATCAGCAACTCAGTTCAAAGAATGATGCATTACATCACTAAAATTTATTTCAAAATACCTCTGCATGGTGTTTACACAAACAACAGTTCTTTACTAGACATGGTCGACCTCAGGCCACCCACACTTCAGCAAACAGGGTATTATCAATGTTTAACGGCTCAAGGTTAGTCGTCTTGGATGTTCAGAAATAAAAAGGTGAACATTCATTGTCTCTTCCTTATTTGTCACCATCAATAGATTGTGGACTCCTCAGAGCATGTCTTG